ATATTTCAGAAAACTTAATATTAACAAGACTATATGTGAATATGTTTGGTAACTAATAAAGCCCTATTCAAATGGTCAGTATTACCACCATCACTGGTTATGGAATACTTTATGCTGTACCGAAATATTAGCCCGGGACAGGACTGACTGAGCCTGGCTCCCTGGCGGGAATTCTTTCTGCTCTCCTGCACCTACTGAAAGTGACCGTCTATGGTTTGACCCAGAGCTTTCCAATAAGTGCCTTGCAAACAGGTTACACCTACTCTGAGACACTGATCTCAGCCCTGGAGGCAGCTGGTTGTGGTGTGGAATCCCTGGACCCATAGTCTTTTACACTCCCTCATGGGTATCTTTCAAAGTGCCCCTTTCTCGGCAGCTATCCTAGGTCTCAGCCCTAGTGCTCACACTTCCCATCCTCCACTTCAAGAAGGCCTGCATGCTGACTTCACTGAGGTCAGACCTACTCTGAAAGATTGCCCTCGGATATTGGTTAGGATCACGATTGGCTGCAATTAACAGAAAACCCAAACTAACAGTGGCTTGATTTCTCTCTCATGCAAAAGTCAGAAAGTGGATGACCCAGGGCTATAGACACACCACAATGTCAGAGACACGGTTCCTCTTATCTCACTGTTTGACCTTGCCTGACCTCCATTCCCAAGGACACCTCTTGGTCTAAAATGGCTGTTGCATCACCAGCCATCACAGCCACAATCCAAACAGCAGGAAGGAGGAAAGAGGAGAGGGAGGGTACACCCTTCACTTCATGGAAACTTCCCAGAAGTTATCCATAGCACCTCCATTTACATCCCATCAGCCAAAACTTAGGATGTGCTCATATCTAGCCTCAAGGGAAGCTGGGAAATGTAGTCTTCTTTCCAAACAGTCCAGGAGGGGGGTGGGGACATTACTTACTACAAAAGGGACACTAGATATTGGGAAATTATAGTCTCTGGTATACCTCACTTACCCTTTTCTTTTAAATTTCAAATCAGCAGTGTTTTCACCTATTTTCTTCCCTCCTGCCTATGCCAGAGGAAGGGATGCCTAATCTCCTTACCAAGGACCTGCCCCTTCCCAAGCTCTCGAAGTCCTGTGTTCCTCACAGAGTCCCCACCAGCATCTCCAAACCACCTCTCTCCCTGGCTCGTTTCCTGCTCCACACAAACTCATAAATCCTGGATGAAACCTAACCTGAACCTGGTACTATCTTGACTTTTCATCTTTCTCCTTTTACTGACACACTTCTCAAACAGGTATTAACACATGTGCTTCCCCATTTCATTATCACACACTCACCTCTTAAAGCCCTGCAGTTTGGCTCCTGACACATATACCCCCTTCCATCTCAGGGGTTACCACTGACCTTTGCTCACCAGACCCAGGGGCCTTCTTTCAGTCCTCACTTGCCCAGGCCTCTAAGGAGCAGTTGATGCTGTTAGCCACTCCCTCTTTGATTTGGGGAAACTAGGATATCCTTATTCTCTTCCAATCTCTTACTCCTGTACAGGTTTTTTCCCTTTCCTCCTTTTAAGGATAAGTAATTTTCCAATGACCAATTCCTACTATCATTCAGAGATCTTGTTTCCTCATGGTTTTAGCATTCACATGTATGTAGATGTCTCTCCAGTCTCTTTCCAGACTTCTAATCCTATGTTTCCCCAGCTGGCTGGATACTCCCCTTGGGTATTTTTCCTGAACTGCAAACTCAGCAGTTTAAATGTTAAAAATTCATCATCCTGTCTCCAAATCCAGGTTCCTCTTTGAATTTCCCCACGTCCATCATCAGACTCAAATCCTCAGGGTTTCCTTGATTTCTCCCCATGTCATGGCCACGTTTCCAATCAGTCAGGCAGAATCCCCTGTCACAGGGAGGATGACAGCTCCCAATCTACCACCAGCCCACAGAGGTCCTTTGACCCTTGAGTCTCACTGCCCACATTGCCAGGAATACTGATCGGCATGTCAAATGCAGCCATATAGTGTCAGTATCCTCTTTATGAAGACATGTCTTTTATTCCCCTCTTACTCCAGGCCATCTGCTTCTTGAGGGCAGAGACCCCATGATCCAAGAATTGAGTTCTGTGCTTCATGGCTCTTCAGTAAACGTTTGTCGATATGCCCAGTGATTGTGAAGCATTCTTAGGTCATGGTCTGTACTGGCCACCACCTATGGAGCCCTGACCGAGCAAAGCTCTTAAACTGCATAACCTCAGTGGATATCTGCAGAAACCCTAGGAAATAGGGATTATTACCCCTCTATTACAAGCAGGGAAACTGAGGCTCAGTGAGGTTAAATCAATCCCCCAAGCTCACGTGGCTAGTCAGTAGGAGAACAAGGGTGTCCAACCCAGACCGGCCTATCTCCAAAGCTCTGCTCTGCACATGTTCTTAACAAGTGAGCCTCTGACGCATAAACAGAGGCGCCCTTCACAAAAGTATCCTTTGGTTTTCCTGCAGCCTGATGCACCTATTGTGAAATACTAGGGGGAGAGTCATGAGACTTACTTTTTTAACAAGCATACTTGCTGCTATAAATCAGGGTTTCCCAGCCTCAGCACTACTGACTTCTGTGCCATCTAATACTTTGACATGGGGGGCGGCAGGGCTGGCCTGTGTAGTGTAGGACGTTTAGAGTATCCCTGGCCTCTGCCCACTAGATGCCGTTAGCAAGCTCCCCGCCAAGCTGTGACAACCAAAAGGTCTCCAACATCGCCAGATGGTCCCTGAGAAACAAAATTGCCTCCCAGTTGAAAACCTCTGCACCAAAACTTTAAAATAACCTAATCTGAAGAAATCACAAAAGTGGTTTGGCACGGAATGTATGTAGCACAAATAATAAGCTCTTTCCCCTCAAGAATGTTCAGTACATATTTCAAAGAAGTGGTTATTGCCCAAAATTGTTTTAGAACTTCTCTTTGGGAAGGGCCCTCAGAGCCTAAAAAAATTATTCTGATAGTCTCCATGATGGCTAATCCCAAAGAACTGTTGCAAAAATATTTTGAGAATACAATCATAAGACTGATGCCTCTGGAAGGAGTGCTTTGAAGTGGGAAATCCTCTCTGAACATCTCAGCTTTGTCATGCTTCCGGTGCAGCCACCTTCTCCCTTCACCCCACCTACTCCACAGGTTACGCTTCATCACAGTTGGAGATGCTGGCGGTGACTGGGAGCTCCATGAGGGCAGGAACTGTGCCCGCCTTGCCTAATGCTATCATCCCAACTCCCAGCACAGAGCTCAGGCTGGGCAAGGCCCTCAGGGAATGTTAGCAGAGTGGAGGACTGAGTGAATGAATGAGTGAGTGACTCAGTGAGTGAACGAGTGAACGGTTGAGTGAATGGCTGAGTGAACAGATGACCAAATGAGTGAGTTAATGAATGAATGAGTGAATGAGTCAGTGAATGAGTGAATGGATGAGGAAATGACTAAGTGAATGAGGGAATGGATGAATGAATGAATGGATGGATGAATGAATGAGTGGTCGACTGAGCGAATGGCTGAAATCAGGCATTCAGTGATGACCTAATAAAATAATTGGTGCTTTCCAGAAAGACACATGTCAGTGATGAAAATCTGGACCTCGTGGGGAAAAAAGTATTTGGTGCAGGGGGAAATTCCATAATCAAAATAAGATATCAGAGAATCACTGGACTCTACTCTCTGAAAATGCAAGAGTGGTCAAAATAGCTTAAATCAAACTCTTATTATCTCTCACCTAGGCCTCAGTTACTTTTTAACCCACGGACGGTAATAACCAAACAGCTTAAGATCTCACTATGTGCCGCGCATTGTTTGAAGTGCTTTGTGCTACCGCTCACTTCACCCTGATAACAGCCCCATGAGGCAGATCTTAGAACCCTCAACAATGAGAACTCTGAGTCAGAGGTTCAAATTTTTGCCAAAGTCGCAAGCAGGAAATGCCAAAGCACTTTAAATCTGGGTCAGTCTGTAAATAGTCCAGGCTGATGCACTACCCCACACTACCTTCTAAGGACACAAAGTACTGGCAAATTCAAATTGATTCATTGATTCAGTCGTCACATTCACTAAGCACCCGGAGGTTGTAAGACACCATGGTACACACAAAAATTGGTAAACAAGCATGGCCTCTGCAATAAAGGGATTGCAGATCTTGAGTCTTATAAATCTCTTTAGATAGAATTCCTTCTAGAAAGATGTATGTTGATGGAGCAGAGACAGAGCTTTATGAACATTTGAAGGCCTTTGTTTTAAAACAAAAATAGCTTTGTCTTGGGTTACATTACCTGTGGCCCATAAAATACTACAATCGGTAAACATTTATAATTTTTTAAAGGACAGTTAAATGTCATCCTAAGAACAGTTACAGTTATATGTCATGAGTGAAAGTTTCATTGTATTCAACAAGCCCAAAAGTTTCTATTTCAGGAAAAGTAAATCAATAGAGGGACAAGATAATCAATCAACCTTCCCCAACATCTTTATGAAAATTATAACCACCTAGAGGGGTGGGATAGGGAAGGTGGGAGGGAGGCTCAAGAGGGAGGGGATATGGGGATATATGTATGCATATGGCTGATTCACTTTGTTGTACAACAGAAACTAACACAGCCTTGTAAAAGCAATTCTACTCTAATAAAGATGTAGAAAAAAAGAAAATTACAACCAACTCTTTAAACAGTATTTTATTAGTTTATTTCAACCCAGTACTCTCGTTCCCATCTTGTTTTACGAACATTCCTTTTATCCCTCCAAAATGACACCTGTTGGTATTCATTCATTCAATCGTGACTCCCATCTATTTACTGGTTGTCGTCACTAATATACAGTTTGGGACACGGATTAAAATCAAAGCTTCCTCACTGATGAACATAAGTAATAATTATTTATTATTCATTATTCATTAGTTCCTCTATTTGTGGACTAAATTATAAACAAACAAAGGTAAATGATATCTGAAAATACCTAACACAAGTTGAATAACGTTTGAAGGATTTAAAAAACTACTTCCCAATTTACCTGCACTAACATGTTCTCAACACTCAAGAATAACTCTTCTGCTTCATTGGTCTTGCCCAGAAGCTTCAGAAATCTCACAATGAAGGACATTAATCGGCATCTGTCAGTGGCAGTAACCTCAAAAAGTCTGCGTTCCAGCACTAGAATGGAAAGGAAAGTAAATAATCCTAAAGCATATTTGGAAGGGAACAAAGAGTGCTTACCACTTAATCTTGATACAAGTTAAATATTAAATACATTTTCTATATTTCACTGTTTCTCTCTCAAAGCATCAGCACTTTGCTTTTATTAAGGTTTACATATATTACCAAGTATCTTAAACTACCACGTGAAAAATAAGTCAAGGCCTTCAACTAATCCTCATATGTAAATTTGGAAAACCAGAGAGTCGAAAAAGAGTATTTCTCTAGCTCAATCCATATATATTGTTGTCATTTGTATTTGGGAGTGATTTTCAGGCAAGAAATAAAAGGCGTTTACATTTCTTATACAATTCTGCCCTCTGCTGCAACTGTCTTGAATTACTAGCTTCAGCAGAAAGAACAAAATGTTAAAAGAACAAAATAGGGAGCATACCTGTGTGTGTGTGTGTGTGTGTGTGTGTGTGTGTGTGTGTGTGCAGTTATACCTTATCATATACAAATGAAAATATACAGAATTTTTGAACTTGAAGACTCAACTAAATACATGGTACCACAAAGTCATCATTTTCAGAATTTCTCTTTCCAAACATTCCAGTATCTAAACTTCTACGTTTGTCCATTTGTTACATTTCAAACTGTTGTGCCTAATGTGTCTGACACAAGTATATTCTTATTCCTCATCTGTTCCTTTGGACAAACTGTAGGCAACCCAGACCTTGGCTACCCTCTTGCTTTCTTTCTGCCAACCTTTCTGTGGATCCCCATTCATGCACGGAATAAATATTCAGTGAACACCAATGTGCCAGGCAGCATTCCAGGCTCTGAACACCAAGCACAGCAGACGAGGGTGCAGCCCTAAGCATCAGGGAGGCCGCCAGGAGCCTCTGAACCATAGCTATGGTGCCTTGGGTTGGGGAGCAAAAACTAAACAGAGCCAGGGGAGAGAGAGCACTGAGGACCAGAGTCCAAGACATTTGTCTGCAGTGGCTGTCTGAGCAAAGGGGCCTGAGGTGGGTAAAAGAACTGAAGGGTGGAGCTAAGTGATGCGGGACCCTAAGAACCAGAAGTGGCTGCTCAGAACAGGCAGAAAAGGGCAGTGTGGACACAAAGCTAAGGGACAGGATCCTGTCTAGAAGTGGGACTTTCGCACATTCCAAGAGGGTTACTAAGTCCAGACTCCTGTCAAGAGCTCAGGTTGGGATGGATGGTGTTCATCACTAAGGGGCCATTCAGCACCCACACCATGCCTGGTGTTGCTCCAGGCACTGGGGGTACAGCAGTGAACACGAGAGGTAGAGCCCTGCTTTCAAGGAGCTTATACTCCAGCAGCTGGGAGGGTCAGAGGCAGGGGAGAGGGGAGCAGAGACAGACAATTTTAAAAAGAAACAAGACAAAGTCTGGTAGCAGTAAAAGCTATGCAAAGAATTAAAACATGTTAACATAACAGAGAATGACTAAGTACAACGTTAGATTGGGAGGTCACCCTGAGAGGGTGACACTGCAGCAAGATCTAAATAACCAGAAAGAACCAGTACTACAATGAGTGGGAAGAACATTCCCGGCAGAGGAAACAGCTGGTGCCAAGGCCCAAAGGCAGAATGTACTTGAAGGACAGAAAGAAAGCCAGGGTCTTACAAAATGATGCTACCCAGCCATGGAGGGGCCAGATTGTATAGGGCATTTTAGGCTAAACTGAGGAGTTTAGATTTTAGTATAAGTGCAACAGCAGACTAGTGGAGTTGTCTTAATCTGTGAAGTGACATGATCTGGTTTACATTCTTAAAAACTCATCTTGGCTACTATGCAGACAATGGACTTTGTAGGAACAAAAATGAAAGTAGGAAGACCAGTTCAGAGGCTGTTATAACAGGCCAAGGGAGAGGGGATGGTGGCTAGGGCTCACTAGAGGGATGCTAGTGAAAAGCCGAGGTTAGTATGACACCTCTAACCTCTCCTCTTCAACATCATCCTGGGAGTCCTAGCTAGTGCAATAAGACAGGAAAAGGAAATAAAAGATATATATATATATATATATATATATATATATATATATATATGGAAGGAAGAAATAAAACAGTCTTTCTTCACAAATGACATGATAGTCTATGTAGAAAATCCAAAAAAATAAACAAAATACCTCCTGGAAATAATAAGCATTTATAGCAAGGTTACAGGATACAAGATTAACATTCAAAAGCCAATTGTGGGACTTCCCTGGTGGTCCAGTGGTAAAGAATCCTCCTTCCAATGCAGGGGACATGGGTTCAATCCCTGGTCGGGGAAATAAGATCCCACATGCCATGGGGCAACTAAGCCTGTGCGCCACAACTACTGAGCCCACACGCCTCAACTAGAGAGCCCGTGTGCCACAGCTACAGATCCCACATGATCTGGAGCCCGGGAGCCGCAACTAGAGAGAACACATGCACTGCAAGGAAAGATCCCACATGCTGCAACTAAGACCCAACGCAGCCAAAAGAAAAAAAAAGGCCAGTTGCTCTCCTATGTACCAGCAATGAACAACTGGAATTAGAGATTTAAAACATATTACTATTTATAATAGAACACCAAAAATGAAGTACTTAGGTATAAATCTCACAAAATATGTATATGATCTATATGCATAACACTAGCAAAGTCTGATGAAAGATATCAGAGAAGATCTAAATAAACAGACATACCATGTTGATGGATTGGAACGCTCAGCACTGTTAAGATACTTGACCTATAGATTAAAAGCAATCCCAATAAAAATCTTCTATAGATGTCCAACCAACCTTTGACAAAGCAGCAAAGACAATTCAATGGAGATTGTCTAATTAACAAATGGTGCTGGAATAATTGGACATCCATGTGTAAAAAAAATTAATCTAGACACAGACATTACACTTTCACCAAAAAATTACTCAAAATTGATAATAGACCTAAATATAAAATGAAATACTATAAAACTTTTAGAAGGAAATGCAGAAGAAAAGCTATGTGCCCTTGGATTTGGTGATGAGTTACAATACCAAAGGCACAATTCATGAAAAAATATTAAGTTAGACTTTATTAAAATTTAATACTTCTGCTCTGTGAAAGCCACTATTAAGAGAACAAAAAGACAAGCCACAGGGGTTTCCCTGGTGGCGCAGTGGTTGAGAGTCCGCCTGCCGATGCAGGGGACACGGGTTCGTGCCCCGGTCTGGGAAGATCCCACATGCCGCGGAGCGGCTGGGTCCGTGAGCCATGGCCGCTGAGCCTGCGCATCCGGAGGCTGTGCTCCACAAAGGGAGAGGCCACAACAGTGAGAGGCCCGCATACAGCTAAAAAAAAAAAAAGACAAGCCACAGATTGGGAGAAAATATTTGTAAAATATATATCTGATAAAGGATTTCTATACACAAAGAGCTCTTAAAATTCAACAATAAGATATGTAAAGATGCTCAACATTATTTGCCATTAGGGAATTGCAAATTAAAACAATAAGATATCACCACACACCTATTAGAATGGCTAAAATCAAAACAGTTGACAATACCAAATGCCAGCAAGGATATAGAACAACAGAAACTCTCATCCACTGCTCATGGGGATGCAAAATGGTACAGTCCCTTCAGAAGACGATGTGGCAGTTTCTTATAAAGCTAAACATAGTCTTACCATACAATCCAGCAATCATGTTCCTAGGTATTTACTCAACTGGTTAATAAACCTTGCATGCAAATGTTTATAGCAAACGTTTGTCCTTCAATAGGTGAATAGGTAAACTGTGGTACATTCGTACCCTGGAATATTATTCAGCATTAAAAAGAAATGAGGGGGGCTTCCCTGGTGGTGCAGTGGTTGGGAGTCCGTCTACCGATGCCGGGGACACGGGTTCGAGACCTGGTCTGGGAGGATCCCGCGTGCCGCGGAGTAACTAAACCCATGTGCCATGAGCCTGTGCTCTGGAGCCTGCGGGCCACAGCTGCTGAGGCCTGCACGCCTAGAGCCTGTGCTCTACAGCAAAGCCACAGCAATGAGAAGCCCTCGCACCGCAATGAAGAGTAGCCCCTGCTCGCTGCCAACTGGAGGGGGCCCGCGCGTAGCGGCGGGGACCCAATTCAGCCAAAAATAAATCAATAAATTTATTTTTAAAAAAAAAAGAAATGAGGGGCTTCCCTGGTGGTGCAGTGATTGAGAGTCCGCCTGCCGATGCAGGGGACACAGGTTCATGCCCTGGACTGGGAAGATCCCACATGCCGCGGAGCAGCTGAGCCCGTGGGCCCGTGGGCCATGGCCGCTGAGCCTGCGCGTCCGGAGCCTGTGCTCCGCAATGCAAGAGGCCACAACAGTGAGAGGCCCTCGTACCGCAAAAAAAAAAAAAAAAAAATGAAATGAGGTGTTGGGATTTCCCTGGTGGCACAGTGGTTGAGAATCCGCCTGCCAAAGCAGGGTACACGGGTTTGATCCCTGGTCCGGGAAGATCCCACATGCCGCAGAGCCACTAAGCCTGTGCTCCACAACTACTGAGCCTGAGCTCTACAGCCCACAAGCCACAACTACTGAGCCCATGTGCCACAAATACTGAGTCCGTGGTCTAAAGCCCGTGAACCACAGCTACTGAGCCTGCGTCCCACAACTACTGAAGCCCGCATGCCCAGAGCCCGTGCTCCACAACAAGCGAAGCCACCGCAATGAGACGCCTGCGCACTGCAACGAAGAGTAGTCCCCGCTCGCCGCAACTAGAGAAAAAGCCCGCGCGCAGCAACAAAGACCCAACGCAGCCATAAGTAAGTAAGTAAATAAATAAATAAATATATTTCTACTACTAAAAACAGAAAGAAAGAAAGAAATGAGGTGTCAAGCCATGAAAAGACATGGAGGAATCTTAAATGCATATTCTTTGCGGGCCTCTCACCGTTGTAGCATATCCCGCTGCGGAGCAGAGGCTCCGGACGCGCAGGCTCAGTGGCCATGGCTCACGGGCCCA